CACATGACCTGGTAGAAGAAAAACGCTCATTGCGAGCGCTTTTAGCCTCAAAACGCGCTAGGATCCGCACATTTGGAGGAAGTGCAGCGGGCGCTCTTCATTCTCAAGGGCCGATGACCAATGATGCTCGCAACCCTTCCACGCCCTTGCTGGCTTGGCAAGAGGCTTATAAAAGCGCAGCCATGTGACCTGGTAGAAGAAAAACGCTCACTGCGAGTGCTTCTAGCCTCAAAACCCGCTAGGATCCGCACATGTGCAGGAAGTGCAGCGGGCGCTCTTATCATCAAGGGCCGATGACCAATGATGCTCTCAACCCTTCCACGCCCTTGCTGGCTTGGCAAGAGGCCTAGACAAGCGCAGCCTCGTACCGTGGTAGAAGAAAATCGCTCACTGCGAGCGCTTCTAGCCTCAAAACGCGCTAGGATCCGCACATGTGGAGGAAGTGCAGCGGACGCTCTTCATTCTCAAGGGCCGATGACCAATGATGCTCGCAACCCTTCCACGCCCTTGCTGGCTTGGCAAGAGGCCTAGACAAGCGCAGCCACGTGACTTGGTGGAAGAAAAACGCTCACTGCGAGCGCTTCTAGCCTCAAAACGCGCTAGGATCTGCACATGTGCAGGAAGTGCAGCGGGCACTCTTCATTCTCAAGGGCCGATGACCAATGATGCTCGCAACCCTTCCACGCCCTTGCTGGCTTGGCAAGAGGCCTAGACAAGCGCAGCCACGTGACTTGGTGGAAGAAAAACGCTCACTGTGAGCGCTTCTAGCCTCAAAACGCGCTAGGATCCGCACATGTGCAGGAAGTGCAGCGGGCGCTCTTCATTCTCAAGGGCCGATGACCAATGATGCTTGCAACCCTTCCACGCCCTTGCTGGCTTGGCAAGAGGCCTAGACAAGCGCAGCCACGTGACCTGGTAGAAGAAAAACGCTCACTGCGAGCGCTTCTAGCCTCAAAACGCGCTAGGATCTGCACATGTGGAGGAAGTGCAGCGGGCGCTCTTCATTCTCAAGGGCCGATGACCAATGATGCTCGCAACCCTTCCACGCCCTTGCGGGCTTGGCAAGAGGCCTAGACAAGCGCAGCCACGTGACCTGGTAGAAGAAAAACGCTCACTGCGAGTGCTTCTAGCCTCAAAACGCGCTAGGATCCGCACATGTGCAGGAAGTGCAGCGGGCGCTCTTCATTCTCAAGGGCCGATAACCAATGATGCTCGCAACCCTTCCACGCCCTTGCTGGCTTGGCAAGAAGCCTAGACAAGCGCAGCCATGTGACTTGGTGGAAGAAAAACGCTCACTGCAAGCGCTTCTAGCCTCAAAACGCGCTAGGATCCACACATGTGGAGGAAGTGCAGCGGGCGCTCTTCATTCTCAAGGGCCGATGACCAATGATACTCGCAACCCTTCCACACCCTTGCTGGCTTGGCAAGAGGCCTAGACAAGTGTAGCCACGTGACCTGGTAGAAGAAAAACGCTCACTGCGAGCGCTTCTAGCCTCAAAACGCGCCAGGATCCGCACACGTGCAGGAAGTGCAGCGGGCGCTCTTCATTCTCAAGGGCCGATGACCAATGATGCTCGCAACCCTTCCACGCCCTTGCTGGCTTGACAAGAGGCCTAGACAAGCGCAGCCACGTGACCTGGTAGAAGAAAATCGCTCACTGCGAGTGCTTCTAGCCTCAAAATGCGCTAGGATCCACGCATGTGCAGGAAGTGCAACAAGCGCTCTTCATTCTCAAGGGCCGATGACCAATGATGCTCGCAACCCTTCCACGCCGTTGGTGGCTTGGCAATAGGCCCAGACAAGCGTAGCCACGTGACCCGGTGGAAGAAAAACGCTCGGAACGAGCGCTTCTAGCCTCAAAATGCGCTAGGATCCGCACATGTGCAGGAAGTGCAGCGGGCGCTCTTCATTTTCAAGGGCCGATGACCAATGATGCTCGCAACCCTTCCACGCCCTTGCTGGCTTGGCAAGAGGCCTAGACAAGCGCAGCCACGTGACCTAGTAGAAGAAAAACGCTCACTGCGAGCGCTTCTAGCCTCAAAACGCGCTAGGATCCGCACATGTGAAGGAAGTGCATCAGGTGCTCTTCATTCTCAAGGGCCGATAACCAATGATGCTCGCAACCCTTCCACGCCCTTGCTGGCTTGGCAACAGGCCTAGACAAGCGCAGTCACGTGACCTGGTAGAAGAAAAACGCTCACTGCGAGCGCTTCTAGCCTCAAAATGCGCTAGGATCCACACATGTGCAGGAAATGCAGCGGGCGCTCTTCATTCTCAAGGGTCGATGACCAATGATGCTCGCAACCCTTCCACGCCCTTGGTGGCTTAACAAGAGGCCTAGAAAAAGTATAACCACGTCATTTGGTGGAAGAAAAACGCTCACCGCGAGCGCTTCTAGCCTCAAAACGCGCTAGGATTCGCTCCTGTGGAGGAAGTGCAGCGGGCGCTCTTCATTCTCAAGGGCCGATGACCAATGATGCTCGCAACCCTTCCACGCCCTTGCAGGCTTGGCAAGAGGCCTAGACAAGCGCAGCCACGTAACCTGGTAGAAGAAAAACGCTCACTGCGAGCGCTTCTAGCCTCCTAACGCGCTAGGATCCACACATGTGCAGAAAGTGCAGCGGGCGCTCTTCATTCTCAAGGGCCGATGACCAATGATGCTCGCAACCCTTCCACGCCTTTGCTGTCTTGGCAAGAGGCCTAGACAAGCGCAGCCACGTGACCTAGTAGAAGAAAAACGCTCACTGCGAGCGCTTCTAGCCTCAAAACGCGCTAGGATCCGCACATGTGCAGGAAGTGCATCGGGCGCTCTTCATTCTCAAGGGCCGATAACCAATGATGCTCGCAACCCTTCCACGCCCTTGCTGGCTTGGCAAGAGGCCTAGACAAGCGCATCCACGTGACCTGGTAGAAGAAAAACGCTCACTGCGAGCGCTTCTATCCTCAAAACGCGCTAGGATCCACACATGTGCAGGAAGTGCAGAGGGCGCTCTTCATTCTCGAGGGCCGATGACCAATGATGCTCGCAACCCTTCCACGCCCTTGCTGGCTTGGCAAGAGGCCTAGACAAGTGTAGCCACGTGACTTGGTGGAAGAAAAACGCTCACTGCGAGTGCTTCTAGCCTCAAAACGCGCTAGGATTCGCACATGTGGAGGAAGTGCAGCGGGCGCTCTTCATTGTCAAGGGCCGATGACCAATGATGCTCGCAATCCTTCCACGCCCTTGCTGGCTTGGCAATAGGCCCAGAAAAGCGCAGCCACGTGACCCGGTGGAATAAAAACGCTCATTCGCCATGCTCTTCATGAGTGGCATAACACATTGTGCGTTACTTTGGTATACCTTGATTCCTTCTTGTCTTTTGCTGATTTGTCTCTCTTTATCCTCTCTTGCTCTGCTCTGTCTTACATCCTTGTTTACGTAAACACCTACTCCAGAAAAAATTGCACTGACGTTCGTGAGGGCTGAGATGATGAACTGACAGCTTCCACTGACCTAGGTGGCTGCTCTCTTGGCCTGCAAAGTATTATTATTCTCTCTTCTCTCACCTAATATCTCGCATTTTCTTTTACCATCTATTTTTCACTTTGTTCCCATGTCGGTTGCTAGAGGGTATTGCGCTATCGAGCTAGTATATCAGACACTAGGCTTGTGTTTGGACTAAGACACCTAGTTGCACTTAAGGGATACGCTGATGCGTTGTGAACAAACGACATCGAGAGTCTCAAATTCTTTCAAGATCGCTTCAGCTTTGGTGTAAGATCGGTCTCATAGACGCCAATAACTACACGATAAAGATCTACACTGGTGCTACGGCGGCTTATAAGCTACACTGGTTGACGTTCTTGCTTATTGCGTAGATTAGCCGCCTAGCTTTGCCCTGGCCCAGTTGCTCATAAGAGGGCCGTGATTCTCTTGTATCGAAAGCATAGATTATAAGGCAGAGCATAACACATCTAGCTATTGTACTTCCTGCTGTGTGAGGTGCATTGGCGCAGCCAGACCACATGGTACATTTGACCTCAAAGGCCAACACTGCACATATATTCGCCAAGGCGTTCCTATCTCGGCAGCACATCACTTGTTGGAAACTTGATGACTATACACTGTACTGGGTATGTTGTTTAGTCATACTTGCTGGCTAGCTGCGTGGCCCTTTCTCTAATAAACTGGGCTAGTATTACTGCTTTAGATTGTACCTCGTAAAGTTTGTTGTTATTGGTGGCTGTCACTGTGACTTCTTGTCACTAAGGTTAAGCTAGTGGTGCCGCATTGCGCTTAATACCATTTCTATGCACTTCCTTTGACCTAGCCTAGGAGGTGTATCATTGTACACACATATATATTTGCACATGTACTTTGTTGCCTAGGTTGGGCTGTGCTATAGATGGTATAGGATGCTAGATGAACCTTCTTTCCTTGCCCTCATTATCATCAATTATATTCCGAATATAACCATTTGCCTTGGCTGTCCGATTGCAACTGTCGAAAATGTTGTTAAAGACACCTCGATACATGATTAGCAGATGTGTTACTTTTGCGATGATCGACTGGTCGGAGTTGATCGCGTGCCCTTAAAAAGATTCGGGTACGGTATGTAATGGAAATATTCTGTAGAAAAAGGGCATGTTTGTCAATTTGTTATTATTCTCTTGCCCATTTAGTCAAATGAACCCGTTACGAAATATAGACATTCTAACTTTGAGAGGTTATCCTATCTGCACGCAACTATCGTAGAAATTTGCGGGATGAAGATACCACTCTGCTGCACTTCTTCCACTATCGCGTACAGGCCTCAGGGGTCTGGGAATATGCCTCTACTGCTGCAAACGAGCAAGTCAAGCAACGGTCCACTGCACGGAGACAAATATGGCTTGAAATGTTCCGTATGTGCTTCGCTGCATCATTGGTTCTCCTCGTTCGACATTGATGCCTGAAACTGGAGTTTCTTCTTCTTGTCTCGATAGGTTCAATGAGTGATCGGTTAATGACCTTGTAAAGGATGCCTGAGAGCTCCAATGCTGCGAACATTCGTTACGCTTTCGATCCCAACGTGTCGGCTCACGACGATCGCGGATGCTCTCTTTTAGGTTGGTCATATTCACCATTGCTAGTTTAACCAACGTCACGAAGTAACATCCTCATTGTCGTTTACCAGCGATGCCTGCATTTTGCTGCGCATGACTCCATGGTGTTCTGTTCAGGATGTAATAAGGATTTAATAAGAAGACTTGTCTGACCTCCACCAATTTCCTACGGAAGCGCAGCCTTCATGACTTACGCTCGCTTCTCCTATTCCGTCTTCTGCTACCGTTGATCCTAGCTGAAGTAGGATGCACAGCCAGGCCTTCTCGAAATAGGGATCGACGACTCGAGACCCTTAGGTTCGTTAGATTCTTTCAGGTTAATAACGTATGACGTTCCTGATTATTTGGACATATCCAGTATTACGGTTCTCTGGAACGTGCAGGATATCGTACTTCTTGTTTTTTCCGGGAGCTCCTTCAAAGCAGCTAATGGTTCCTCCTTCCGTTCTTCAGGATTTACCATATTAAATCAGTTGAAGACAGTGATTGACCACCTAAAGTTTCAGTGCTCTCCTTACTGACATCAGCGGGTACTTCTTATCTGGCCACCATGACTCCTGAACCAGGCTGAAAAACCATCGTCAATCAGGTATCCCTAAGTTCGTAGCGTTTAGAACTCGCTGACGTGGATGATGTTCATGGCTACTTCCTGTTTGGCAGATTCGAGTATTATCAGATTCAGCTTTTCTCGATGACGTCCTTGTTTACTTCCTGAGTCGATCTTGCCGTCGGATTTTGCAGCACGCGATGGTACATGCTCAGCACTGCCTGCATTTTGCTGCTATTGGCTCCTGTTATGCTCGTCTTCGCGAATCTACATTGCCGTGACACTCTGGCATCCAAGACTGTACCCGACAGGTACTTTGCTGACATCTGCGTTTTCGTTTCAGACAATCTTGTCAAGCATCCTGCTAATACTTTCGGTTTGCTATTGTTGATATGTATGTTTTATCGGTTTTCTGAGTTCCAGGATATATTTAAAGCTGTATGGACGAACGTTAGTGACTTCTGTCAGCTCCTTCACTCAGATTCATGAGCTTGAATGGCTCTCTTCTTACGGATTTTAAGGCCGTTATCTCCAGTTGCCATCCAATGGCTATTACTCGCCCTCATATTTCATACGGACGACCTATTACCATGGGACCGTATCATCAGCTATCTTCTGGACCTGCCTATTACCAGCGTCAGTGCTGCCAACGGTCATCTGGGAAACATGGCCGTTTCATTGTTCAGAGCCTGGCTGGAAGGGGATTGGAGAATGCTGACACCTCGCATGCTAGCGTGGACACAGGCGATTGGTTGGTGGCTGGCCTTTTCAATTGTCATGACAAGCACCCTCATTAGCATCCGAGATGTTATCTTATTAACGTTCGCCGATTCTCTGGTCAGAGCAACTGGAAGCCCGAAGCGTCAGACTCGCTGGAAGCTGAAGAAGAGAGGCGTGCTGGTTATTGCAAACCTCCAGCTCTCTCCGTTGCTTCTTGATGACCTGGACCTCCCGGTATCAGCCCAATCAGCAAGGGTGGAGACATTGGAGCTCTCACTCCCTCTCCTGGCTTTTATCCTTGCCAGAAACATCTCATTGCAAATCAGAGGGTTCCATGTGGAACTGACTTCTCGCAAGTTCCCCTCTGAAAGGGATTGTCGTGGGCTTGATGCTCAGGTGGAGGCTGAGAAGCGGGCCAGGCAAAGGCAGAGGCTGACAGACATTGACAGATTACTCTGGGATGACAACTCTCCTCCTCCTTCCTTCATGCAGAAGTTTCAAGACTTTCTCATTTTCACGGTTGCCTCCCAAGCAGCACAGTGCGTGCAGGTCTCCATCTCCCAGGTCACCATCCGGTTCCGACCCAGCAGCCTGAGCTCTCTGCCTGAGCATCTCCACCGCACCCTCTCCCTCCGCCTCGACTCCCTCAGCCTCAGCAACGGCCCTCCAGCCTCCACTGACTTGCTGCTTCCCAGGGCGAAGGTGGTTGACGTGCGGGGCTGCAAGCTTGAGCTCGTGAACGAGCCGAGCAGGCCTTCCGCTCCATCTTCAGGGGTTCAAGCGGGGAATGGCAGTGCTCCAGCTGGCAAGACGGATTCGCCTAGCAGACTGCAGAAGCAGGGTCCACCAAGGGCTGCAGTGACTGTGGTGAAGCGCTGGAGCTTCTCCGTGACTGTGGAGGCAGGATGGGGTCTATGGCATCAGGGCAGCAAGAACAGTGGCGTGGTGGTGTCTGCCTCGCTGGACATGGGCGCTCTCATCATGAGTGCGAATGAAGTGGTAGTGGAGTATCTGTCTGGCTTGGCTGTGGACCTGACTGAGTTCACAGACTATGCCAAGTACAGGCAGACTCGCCCTCGTGCTTCAGTGCTGGAGGATCCCAGGGCATGGTGGCGCCATGCCATAGGAAATGTGGCACGAGATCTGCGAGCAGCAGCAATGGACGTTGAGCTGACAGGGCTGTCGCAGTCCCGTCAGGCCACCCTGCGCCTGCAGTACGAGAAGCAGTACAGCGACTTCGCTGCAGGGCGCTGCTGGTCCTTGGCGTCCGCTCAGGCGCGCCTGCAACAGCTGGAGCAGCAGCTGGGCACTCTCAACTGCGCGTTTGTGCGGTTCAGGGTGGCGCTGGCAGCAGAATCCGAGGGGTTGTCCCACAGTGAGCCTGCGTGGGATCAGCACATGACCAACGTGAGAAACAAACTCCAGGATCTGAACTACTTGCTTTCTGGTGGCTCTGTACCTGAGCCTCAGGCAAATAAGCCGGTCATTGAGGTCAGCAGCAGATTTACCTGCCCAAAGCTGTGCGTCTTGCTGACATCAGCGTCAGACCTTGATTGGGGTGCTGAGGTGTCGCTGCATGAGGTGGCGCTGAGGTTCACAGAGTCGGGTTCACTTCATGCTGAGGTGTCATGCAGAGAGCTTCTGGTACGGAACTTCTATGTCCCTGAGAGCGAATTAGTAGGGAACATCGTGCACTCTGTCAGCTCCTATCAGTCCTCCACCTTTCCTTCCTCTGCAGCCTCCTCACCTTCGATTGGTCCTCGTGCCTCACCTCTATCAGCTTCAATGCCTGGCTCTAGTCAACCGTCCCCACTGCATCCTTCTCTAGGCGGTCCTGCTGTGCCTGCTGCAGCAGCTGGGGCTGCTGCATCGTCCTCCCTTTCCTCAGGCTCCACTCCATTCTTGGCGGTCTGTTTTGTCCAGAGGTACGGCTCTCAGCCCCGTCCCTGCCAACTGCCCACCTGCCTGGTCGGCAGGTGGCATCTCTCCTACCCCTCAGAACTCAAAAAGCCAAGTTCAGGCCGCTTCCTCCAGTTTCTTCGGTCAATCCGGTCTGACAAGTACACGAAGGCGTCGCAGCAGAGCCAGAAAGCTGTGCCGGCACAAGGAGAGAGGCAGCAGCAACAGGATTTGAAGGATCCAACGGAAGGGTCGGAGGAGAGGGGACAGCCAACACATCAACGGACGGAGGGAAGCAGGGGAAGTACGGGGGCGCATGGCGAGGCGAAGTGGAAAGGGGAGCGTGAACTGGGCGTGTTAGAGCTTGGGTGGGGCGAGGACGAGTTGCAGCGGCTGCATACTCGAGTGGAGGCACACATGTCTCCCCTTCGAGTCTTCCTCGACCGCCGCTGGCTTTTCCAGCTCATGCAGCTTCTCTCCTCGTCTCCCTCAAACCAATCACAGTCAACTGCAGCCAGCCAAGGCAGAGTTCCTGGCCACTTGGCCTCACCGGCTGGGAAGGGTATGACTAGCCGTGCTGAGGTTAGAGCTGGTGTAGGGATAGGATTGGGAGGAGAAGGTGCAGGGAGACAAGATGGGGAGGTAGCAATGGGGGACGCAGCTGGTGGTTCAGCTGACAGTGAATGGATGCCCGATATCACCAAGCAGCAGCACTACCTATACCACAGAAGGGGAGACTCTGGAAGCGTGGATGTTAGGAGCAACATTGCTCCTGCTGCTGAAAGGCCTCCAGGCACACCCGGTGGTGGCGCGAGGCAGAACTGTGGTGGTATCAGTGATGGTGGTGCGGCGCCGCTGAACCCGGCTCCGTTCGCGGATCTGCAGGACTACGTGAAGGAGTTCGGGCAGCACGTGGCGAGGAAGCGAGTGCAGCATGTCAGGGACAACCTGCCAGAGGTCGCCGCCCGGGTTGGCAGCATACTCTTCATCATCCCATGCCGCGACATTGTGAGTGTGAAGTAGAAAAATTCAATTGTGACGTGTAAAGTGCTCGTGCTGGTCTTTCACAGCTTCATTGCACCAGCATGGCTTGACTCCATTACAATTCCAACCCATGCCACTGTGCATTGCTTCCTCTTACAGGACGACATGCCTCGTCCATCATCGGCATCAGCATCAGCCGCCCCTCAGCGCTCATCGGCGCCTTCAGCAGGAGGTGATGGCGATTTCCAGGCATTCTTTGGCATGGGGATGGACCACCGAGCACCACCATCACAGCCACAGCAGCATCACCATCACCGCCATCAGCATCAGCCACTGTCAGAGCGACAGAAAAATGTTCAAGCATGGACGGCCCAGGGAACGGGGATGGGAGCACAAAAAAGGAGACCTGGAGCACTGACCCCTCCCCTGCTGGTGATATCCTTGTCAGAGATCGTCCTGGACACAAGGCCGACTGAAAGGTAGTAATTCGTTTTGGCTTTCCTCCTTGCCGCCAGGTTCATGATTCTTCCTCCTCAAACTTGCCTTCCCCGAGGAGCAGCCATATGATTTGATCTGTCCCCCTTTCCTCTTCCTCCTTTTGTTGTCTCGATCCTCAGTGCCATTCTCCAGAAGCAGGATGCTACCCCAGAATCAACAGCATCGTCCAGCGACCAATCCCTAGCTGCCAGGTGGCGCAAGGTGGTGGCGTCCATGTCATCGCACAGGGGATGGATGCAGCGGCAGCATGTGGGCCCACTGCCGCCTAATTCTCTGGAGCAGGTCAAGGTGGAGCTTACAATGGAGGCTTACTTGACCCGCGCTTCTCTCTCCAACGTTGCCAACTTGCGGGAAAAGTAGTCATCACCCCCCCTAGCTACATCATATTGTTTTTGGTGTACCGTTTGTTTTTGCCATTTCTTTTTTCATTTTTTCCCCGTTTACATGACCTCATTTGTTTGTCCATGCGGAGCAAGCATCCGTTTCCGTTTTTGTTTGCGTGACTCTATTTCTTTGTTCATTTTGTGTCTGTGGATCAATGGTGTTCCTGTTGCATGCGTGTGCATGGTTGATGGCTGTGTGCTTGGCGCCTTTCACATGGTTGGTTTGTGTATGCATGCGTGCACGACATTTATACAATACATGCACATCCTTTTTATTGCAGGGTGGACTTCTGTAAGTCAGTGTCAGTCAGTGCATCCGTCTGTCGCTGCACGGAACCTATTGGAGAAACCACAACCACTGTAAGGCCCCTTTTCACTGCATGATTTCCCTGTTCCCTCCTGGCGCTCCTTCAAGAGCCCCTCTCGCCAGGCTCTTTCCTTTGCTCTTCCATCCCAACCACTTCTGTCCTTTTCACCCATGCGCCAGCCTACACCAACCTACCTTCTTCTACCGTGCAGCTGTTGAGTGTGGAGCTGGTCACGTCAGTCTTCATCGTTCAGCTCTCCCCGCTCATTGCCAAGGAGGTGTCCCGCCTCGTGCACACGTAAGTAACCGACTTTGGCATCTGCATTGCATGGCCTTGTCGTTAGTAGCACAAGACACACACGTTTGAGGTCCATCACGCCTAGGAAGCCCAGTTTCAGCACATCTGTAAAACCCGCTTTGTAACGTAACACACTTTCCATCATGCACCTCCCCACTCTCCTTTTGGTTTGGGCAGTTTAAACGAGACCTTTGCAAGCACAGGAGACACCTCCTCAACCTCTAAGGAACCACTGCCACCTCCACCAGTCAATCCTGGAGCACACCAGCTGGGGTGGAGGTTCTCCTTGAAGGTACATATCTCCAGCATAATGTGAATTCCGATTCTCCTCTCCAATCTCAGCCGTAGCTCGTTTTGTTGCCAACTCTCGCTCCTTCCCGTTTCGCATCACTTCTCCCCAACCCACACACTCTTTTCTTCTTACCCTCCCTCTCCCCCTCACCCCCCACCTCTCACGCGCATCTCATCCACCCGTCTGCAGGGAGGCGGCTTCCTGGTGGAGGCGTGTCAGGAGATGGTGCCTCACAGCAAGGCTGACTGCCCCTACGGCGTGTGCCGTTGCCGCCAGTGGGTGCCCTCGTCTGACACCGCTGTGGTACTCGTCTCCACCGCGGAGGACCTGCGCGGATGCCCCCCCACCACTTCCAAATCAGTTCCTCCACCTACTGCTGCTGCCTCTGCTTCTTCTGCTGCTGGGGGTTCTGCTGTGGAAGGCCAGCCCCGTGAGCCAGTGGTGGTGGTGTTTCGAGTGAGGCTGGACAAGATTCGTGTGGAGGCTGAGCAGCACAATGATAAGGTAAGTAGTTATTTCCGAACACCTCACGTGTACCCCGCGGCCCGCCTGCCTTTTGAGCTTCGTGAAATTTGGCGAAATCCGTCTTGTAATCTTAGAAATCGTTACTTGTCTTCCGAATCTCACTTCTCCTGTCCCTTCTCCCTCCATCAACAACCGTTGTCCTCCCAAACCAGTTATCTCTCCTATTACTGCTCAGAGGACTCTCCAGTGGTCGTATCCTCCCTCCTGTAAGTTTTATCTCTCTCCCTCTGGCCCCCCTCCTCCCCCACGCACCCCTCGTAGCCTTCACTTTGCACATCACCTCTCTACCTCTTTGACGCTCCCTCATCCCTTTCTCTTTCTCTTCAGCATCCTTCCCCTCATTTCCTCCTCTCCCCATCCGCCAACTCTTCCCTCCCTTTTCTCTGCAGACCGCGATGGTGCGGGAACTGTTTCCTCCTGGCAAGGCCATGATGGCACGGGTCAGTACCAATACTGCTGGACCCACCTCAGCTTGCAATATGAACAGAGCACCAATTTCTCTGTGTTACTCGACTCTACATGCACGTCCATTCGTCAAGAATTAATTACCGTCCACCATCCGGGTCCGGGCCACCTTTTCTGCACTGCGCCGCCGTTAATTAACAACCACTGCGCTGTTGCTATTATCTTATTCCTCGTTCTTGTTCCATCCCCTCCGACATCACCCAGGTGTTTTACCGATGGCGCCTTCAGACAGTGGTGGCGAGGGGCTACAGTGATGAGGCCATATTTTCTGCCTACGAGGCACTCCAGCGGGCCAAAGCCCAGGTGCAGTGCAGCAGGGTTCATTGCCTGTAGGCTGCAGCTTAGTGCTGGGGATCGGGGGGAATTTGATTTTTGAGGCGCCTAAAAAATAGGCTGCAGCTCAGTGCTGGGAATCAGGGAAATTCGTGTTAGTGCATGTTGGTTTCATTATTTGTGCTTTCTTACAGACATGAGCAATGGCTTGATTGACATTACACTCGTCCTCTGTGTGTGCACGGGTGAATGTCCATTCTACCTGGCTGCGCGGCAGGTCGCTGTTCAGCTGCAGGAGGCAGGAACATTGCATCAGGTGGCTGTGAAAGTCGCCCTCCTCCCATTCTGCTGGTACGCCCCCTTTCCATTCCTGAAACAGCCAATTTCGACCTCCAACTTGAACCTTTCTGCTGTAGACGATGTTGCTTGCTTCCTTCTTCCACATCCACTTCACTTCACTGACTGCGGGAGTCGGACTCCCTCTTTCATCTTACTTGTTCTCTTTCATCCTTGTCCTGCAGCGACACCAACAACCTCTGCGCAGTGCTCACCTTCCTCACTCACCTTCAAGCCGCTATCTCTCGGACCACCTCTGCTCCACCGGGTCCCTCAAATCCCCAAGCTCGCCAGATGCTGACTTTTGGAAGCAGCGAAGTGGAGAGGGACTGGTGGGGCGAGCCCACACCCACTGCTTTACCCTCCAGCCATCCGAATTCTTCGTCTGGCTGGTCGCGTGTGTCTTTTAGAGATACAGCGGAGGATGACTTGGAAAGGGAAGATGAGGAGGAGGAGGCACAAGGTGGGGAAAGATGGCGTGGGAAGCGTGTGGGGGGTGGAACAGAAGATGGTACCGAGTTCGGGCCTCGCGTGCAGAGGACTGGGGGAGGGAAGCGGATGAGCATTGGAGAGGTGGCCGTTGACGGAAGCGAGGCAGGCACGGATGTTGACGAGGATAATGAGAAGCAAGGAAAGAGTGTGTCTCTGGATGATGAGAAGCAAGGAAAGAGTGTGTCTCTGGATGATAGCCCCCTGGATATCTTAGGTCCGCGTTCTGAATGGCACTCTAACGGAGCGTCCTGGGAGGGTATGAGTGAGAGGCGAACACGAGGAAGGAGCAGGGATGGTGGAGAAAAGGACGTGAGAGGTGAAGGTTGCCGTGTGTATTCAACGAGTGGGTGGAGGGAGAGGCGGAGGGGTTGGCAGGGAAGCAGTGGGGAGGGAGAGATCGCGGGAAGCGGTGCAACAAGTGAAGTTTGGAAGTTGCAGGCAGAGCTGGGATGTGGCATGGTGATCATGTCCATTGGGGGGGTTTCTTTTGGCAGCGTCATCATGCAGAGGGTGAAGATGGATTTGACCTCGCAGCCAGACGCAGTGGATGTGGATTTGACTGTCGGCGATCTGGATGTGGTTGACATGCTCGCCAACTCCAAGTGAGTCCACCCAACGCACTGCTGCTCTGATGTGCCCAACACCGCATTCTCTGTTTCTCTGTATCTTCGGACCGATTCATGAGGCAGGTTCACCCCCTTTCTGCTGATATTTCGTCTGCATCCATTCCTCTCCAGTACATGGCCATCCTTAGTGATTTTTCCCAATTTTTTTAATTGATCTGCCTCACCTTTCCAAGCAGGCACTACTCTCACATCTTTGAGCCCAACGGAGACCTTCCAAGCCTGAACCTTGTCGTTCGGCAGAACATGGTGCAGCGAGGGCCGAACCTACCTGCCAAACCTCAGGTATGGCAAGAGGAGGGTGTGACACGATCCAATTCATCAATCTGACCTCAGGCACTGAACACACACATCAAATTTCAAGTATTATCCACCACAATTCCAGGTATTCAACGGACTGTTTCCATTCTCAAACCATGTTCTCACACTCACTGTCATCCGTGCTCAAATGTGCACCCAACACTTTTTCCCTCCGCGGTCCAACACCAACACTAACTCCACCCTAACCCCTGTCATACTGTGTGAGCTGGTAGGTGTGTTTTGTTTGTGGAAGCAAGCAGACAAGGATGACTGCCATCTGCCACTTCACAAGAAACAACTTTTGAGGCGCCGTAAATACCCCCCTGTCTCTTTTTGTGAGCTGGCAGGTGTGTGTGTTTGTGGAGAGCCAGCAGACGAGGATGACTGCCATCTTCCGCTTCTTCAACGACTTTGCTCTCTTTGTGGAGCGCATGGCTCCCATCTTCTCACCCCCCCAGGTATGCAGCCCACACAAGCCTTTTGCCTCTCACTCAATTACGGAATGGCTTCTCATGATCTCATCTCCTCACCCACATGTGCTGGAGTCTTACCTAGTCCTCCTAGGTAGGTAGTGCACCTGGTGGAAACCACCTGCCACCTCTCTGCCTACGTGCCAACACATGTGAATGGCTCTTCTTTCGTCTCCTACACCCTTCTGACTTGCTTGTGCCGACATGCCAGCAGGCACCTGGTCCATCTAAAGAAGGCAGCGGCTCAACCAAGTGCCAGGATGCCAAGAGGGAGGGGTCAAAGCAGGGGGAGGGTAAAGCAGCTGGGGATTCAGACGTAGAGGATTCGCCTCCGCTGGTGTTCCTGCACATCTCGGACCTGTCGCTCTGCCTCCCAGTGTAAGTGATGCTCGAATGTCTTTGTGCTCGTGTGGTGCGCTGCCGCTTGTGTATCTTGACTTTACTGGATACTGTCATGTGGCACATGTCTCGTCTCCCCTCTTGTCTCCACCCATCTCCCCCATGTCAGGTCGTCGTGGAGCGAGGAATCTCTGGATGTGCGAGTGGAGACCATCAATCTCATCGTTCCCACTCCAGCTTCGCAGCGCCTGTCCCAGCACACACTGCTCAGGTGCATACTTGGTTTGCCTGCACTCTGAGTCAACCCTTTCCTTGTTTTGCTTCTGTGTGTCTCTGGCCCGACCCGAGGCTCACTGCACAGATACCAGGTACCCCCACCACAGTGCATGCACTCACACTACCATTATATCTCCCTAACTGTATATGTTCCCCATGAATCCACCTTCTTACCCTCCTCTGCAGACTCGCAACAGGCATCCGCCCGCACGACCCGTCCTTCTGGAAACCGCTGGTGGATGCTTTGGACCGCTCCCCCCCCGCCTCCCCCGACTCCGTTGGCATTCAGCTCTCCCGTGTTGGGGGCTACTGGTCCCCCTCCAAGGTCAGTTCGTTGAAGATGTCACGTCATTGTCAGCTCTTCCGTGGTGGGGGCTACTGGTCCCCCTCAAAGGTCAGTTCCTGTAACGGTCACTTCATTGTCATTCAGTTCTTTAAGGCAACCACGTGCTGCTCACTTGTGGTTGCCCACTCTCTGTTCTGTCCGATGCCTGCCTGTCTCCTCTCCCTCCTCGTCTCTGCTCTCACCAGACCATCACGCCCAAGGTGGAGCGGAGCATCATCTCTGAGAGTGGTGTTTTCATCTCCGTGCAGGTAGGCCACGGATGGGTCTGGAACTAAGTTGCGGAAGACGCGTCTAGCGTCTTAGACGCGTCCGTCTAGACGCAGCGTCTAAGACGCTAGACGCTAGGCAGCATGGATTAGACGCAGTATTAGACGAAAACCCGGGCAGGCCTAAAAAACTTGTTCGGGCAGACCAAAAAAAGTTCTAAGGGGGATGGGGAGGGTGGGTAACATGCACCTATGTCACAATGGGGTGCATTTTTCCCCGTGCCATATTTTTTTCCCCATTTTTAGACTTCACAAAAAAGTTCACATATCATCATGTATAGATAAGTTTCCATGTCTCTCTAGTAGTAGCAACCTCGAAGACCATTACTACTACTACATCTCTCTGCAATCACTACGCCTCCTAGCTCTCCTCCTACTCATCCTCCTCCTAAGGAAAGAGGTGGAAAGAGGTAAACCCTAAGGGTTTTCGAAAGAGATTTGAAAGAAATGAAGGTTGGGGAGCACAAATCAGTCACATAGTTGACTGATTTGATTGAAGCATGTTTACTTCCTCCTCTCACCGCAATCCTTAAACGAGTACTCCACCTTCAGCCATCCACTAAGTACTGACAATTTGATTCTGTCTTTTTATTTTCTCCACAATGCCCCCTTCCTCCCCTCTCTCTGTCCGCTCTCCCTGCCAGTCGAACCCATCACGGGTGCACGTGCACTGGCCTCAGGTGGAGATCCGTGTGGGCCTCACCCAGTACAATGCCATCATGACCCTCATCTTCCAGAACCTCGCAGAGGGCTGCTCCTTCACAGGTGGGCTTTGGCGCAGTGCTGGTGCAGGAACATGGGCAACAATATTATAGAGTGGTTGTAGTGCATGCACAGTGCAATCCATAACACTTACGAATGACGGGCTTCCTTTATAGAGCAGCTACTTGTTCAAACTCCCAACTATCTCATCGCCATCCAAATTTTCCTCGCAACAATTTAGCTGACACGTGTCATGTTCCACCTTAAATCCTACACTATGCCATGCCAATCCACCCCCCACCAAACTACCAGCAGCACAGCCCCCGTTGACTAGAAGTCAACAAAAAAATCACGCTGTCCAATGTCATTTTCCCGTACCCATGCCCATGCCATAATCAACCCCCACCCACGCCCCCCCTCCTCCACCCGCTCCTCTCCCCCCACCAGACGACCAAGTGTACAACCCGATGGTGGGTCGCCCCATGGGCGGCGAGGCTGCTCCTCCGGACCCCTGCATCAGCCTGGCAGGACTCACCCCCGACTTGGAGATTCAGCTCGACTTCGGCCGCGCTGTCATCCACGCCGAGATGGAGCACCCGGCCACTCTGGTTGAGAACGGGTGTGTGTGCGGGGAACAATGTATATGGTGTCCCTTTTTTGCATCTACGGATGAGCTCTCCCATGCTATATGCTCTTTAAAAATATCCTGGTTTTTTCTCTTCGCTTTGCCAACCATCCAACTAACCCTGTCACCTGTGTTCCCCCAATCAACCAGCTTTGGTGACCCTCTTTTGTCATTGAGAGCGCATCGCCTCACCATTGTCTACTCCAACTACACTGATGTGAGCGCCTGCCTCCTTTCCCTTCCGTACTCCAGCTGCACTGAGCCACACTCTTCTGCCTTTCCTTCTATCTCATCCAGCTTAGGTCCATACGCGCCTGCCCCTGCATTTTTTGGCACGCTTTGGCACCTCCTTCAAGTCTCTCAAAGAAATTAGCACCTTTTCGTATCCTGCTGCGATCCATGTTCTTATCATTCTGCATGCTGTTTTTCTTCCACCTCTCCAACTTTTCCCGCTCCTTCGTCCCCACCCGACCCCCCCCCACCCCTCTACCTCCTGTGTGGCTGGTTTGCTCTCCAGTTCTCGCAAGTGACAGTGAAGTCGTTTCGCCTGCTCTTAAGGGACGACCGCTTCCTCAAGTTCTCCCAGTCAGAGGTTTGAACACTCCCTCTGTCAGTTCTGTTCAAGCCGTTGCTCTTCTATTCTTCCTACCAATCGCCATGCTCTCCACTCCACCCACATCCGCTCTCAGTCAGTCTACCAGTTTTCTGTTTATTCTCCATCTTATGTTTCCTTACTGCTCTCCCCGTCTCCCTCATTCTCCACCTACCCCCTCCCTTTTCCCGATGCCTTCTTTTCCCGATGCCCCCTTTTCCCGATGCCCCCTTTTCGTATCTCCAGCTAGCCCTCGTCGAGACCAATACCTCGCGGGCCAAGCCGCCCCCCACAGCAGCTTCCACATCCACCTGCCTCTCCACACCTCCCACCCACACCCGCGCCTACACCACCCCCATGGGTGGCGAGTCCGGGCAAGGGCTCGGGTGCGATCTGGACAGGTCGTTTCTGGTGAACGTGGTGATGAAGCAGGAGGGCACGACGGGCGTGCAGGTGGTGTTTGAGCGCACCAGCATCGTGTGGCCCTTCTACACGGACCTGTCGCTAGTGTGGGAGTTTCTGGAGGTCGTTGCTGGGTACTTTCAGAAGCCGGGGTGTGCGCTCGGGCCTATCAGTCTGCAGCCAGATTCGTGGCTCATGGTCAACATCCTGCTGCATGTGAGATTGAGATAATGCTTCTGGAACAATGCCTTTGAGTAACGGGTTTGACAATGGATTTACTGAACTGTGGGTCTGGACAACGGTTCTGCACCATTGCGTTTGTTACAAACGGTTTGTAGTTTTGAATTGAACTCCCAGCCAAGAGCTTGAGTATGCATTTGCATCCCTGCAATTTCATTTAACGACCCTTTCTCTCTTATCTGCATGTGGTCTGTTTCACAAGTGCGCTACTGACGTGTTCGCTTACCGTCCCTGCACCCTCCACCACCTCTCATAGGACTTTGATCTGTTGCTGCCAGTGCCAGAGGAGAGCCTCATCAACGTCTGCCCGCCTCCCTCCAGCTCCCACCACTCCTGCCCTCCTCACGCCAACCCTCCTCTCGCCACCCCGTCACCAATCACTGCTGACTCTTCTCCAGCCTTCCACTCCGCCCAATCCCGCATGCCTCCTCCCTCCACTCCGCCTGACCGCTTCTACGATGCTTCTGAGGTTCTCCCTGCGAGCCGACGCAGCGGCAGTGTAGGTACTGGGGGTGCTCCTGCTGGCAGTGGCTTTGGCAGGAGTGGCAGCAGTGGCAGCGGTGACAGCGGGCAGTTTGAAAGTGCAAGGAACATGTTTGAGGAGCCAGTGTGGGTGCCGGAGTTGCAGGTGTGGAGCGACGATGTAGACCTCTTTCTTTCAGAGCTCAAAGCCCACGGGCTCAAGATCAGGGGACAGACTTTGCGGGTGGGGCATTTTGCAGGAGGAGACGGGGAGAGCAAGCTCCTGGTAGACTTTATCCGCGTCAGCAGTGTGTTCATCCACCAGTCTCAGTACTTTGCCCCTCACGACGTCATTGGGGAGTTCAATGCCCAGCTTCTGTTTAACCAGCACTCTCCCAAGTGTGCCAATAAACAGGCCAGCCTGCTGTCGCTGCACATCACACCTGATCTCCATCCGTCGCTCTCCGCATCTGCGCGTTCTTCCTCTCCTGGTGCTTCTGCTGCTTTCCCTGCCTCCGCCACTGGAGGGCAATCCAGCAGCAGCGCCGTCAAGTCTGGCCGTCTGCCTATTTACTTTGTTTTCTCTGTGAGTCCCCCTGGGCCTGTCTTCTCCACAGCACCCTCCCGTTTCTTCCCAACAACAAAGTATAACTTTCCCGTTGCCTATGCATCCTGCACCGTTTCACTTCTCAACTCTCTCATGCTTTTGACTCCCTCTCTCTCACCTTGAGCAGCATCTTGTGGTCCTTAGCTCGTTCCTCCGGACGCTCAACATCCGCCTGAAGCGCAGCCAGGGCAACCTGCTGCATCAGAACCTTGACCTGTATGGGGACCCACTGCCGCCCGCCTTTGTGCCATCCAAGCTGGGCGTCAACCTCCAGATCCACGAGCTCTTTGTTTCTCTCATCGACGACAGGTGAGGAAGAGGGCAGGCCGTGCTTTTAGGCAACCATGATTGCCCATGGCCAATCTTTCACAAATTGGCGCTCGGCTCTCACTCCTCGTGCATGCAGACACTTGCACTGGTTCTCAATCCTGAGTCCCATTTGCGCCTTGCTCGTTCGCCCTGCCACCCCCCTGTGCTCCACCACCAACACCACGCCTCCCCGTGGCCAGTTATGAGTCCTCGTCTCAATACCATCCCTCCCTGCGTCCTACACATGCAGGATGGGGAATCCCACGTCAGTGCTGGAGCTGGTGGCCAAGGGCATTGTCTTCAGCGCCACAAGCCAGATTCTCGCCGATGGCGGACCCGAGCTGCTCTCCTGCCGCCTCTCCCTCACCCTCCTCTCCAACTTCCTCAACTCCGGCTTCGAGGTCCTCACTTCCCCTCCGTCTCTTTCCCTTTTCCCGCTTTCTGGCATCCGTAATTGTCACCATCACACCTTCACCTTCCCCCCCTGGAACCCTCCCTCCCTTGCCTGTGTGTTTTTTACTCTGCCTTCCCTGCTCATCCCCCTTGCCCATTCACGCCCCCCGCACCACACCTGTGTGTCCACTCTCCTGCTTCCCCCACGGCAGATCATGGAGCCGATGACAGAAGCATGGCAGTTGGGGGCGGATGTGAAGTCGACAGGCAACCACGTGACGATATCAGTGCAGTCACACCAACTGCTGAACGTCGTGTTCACCCAGCCTGCCCATTCCTCTCCTGTACCACCCGCCACGGCAGATCATGGAGCCGATGACAGAAGCATGGCAGTTGGGGGCCGACGTGAAGTCCACAGGCAACCACGTGACGATATCAGTGCAGTCGCACCAACTGCTGAACGTCGTGTTCACACCCATGCAGCTGCGCTCGCTGGGAGACGCCCTCAACTTCTACACTCTGCTCTCCAACTCGCTGCTCGTGCTGCCGGGGGGCAGCCTGCATGGAAGCGACCGTGACGAGGTATTGTGTTGGGTTGAGCTGGGCTGGATTGGGTTGGGTTGGTACAAAGGGTGCTGTATATGCGTGGCGTGTGTGTGGCTGTCTGGTGCTAGTGGCCCTGTCTTTATCTGTTATCACGTGTTGTGAGTGCGTCTACCTTCCATTCCATCTGCCCTTGACATGTTTTCATCTTGTCTTTCTTCTCTACGTGCCCCTCGCTGCCTTTCTTCCCCTACCCGTCACTGTCCTGTTCCCTCTTCTCCACTCTGCAGTTGGGTTCTGGAGCATCCTCAACAGCTCATGGAGGCTCGATTCCACCTGCCACCTCCGCCCGGATGACTAGAGTGAGACATAACATCAGCCTGGCTGGGGGGTGGGGGGAGTTCGTGGAAGGGAGGGAAGTGCAGGTATCTACGATTTATTCATGAGCACCATTGTGTGCGTTGGGAGAGTTAGAGACTCAGGCGTTTCCGTTGCTGATTTCGTCTGCCTTGTCATGATCACTGTCCCCTCCCCCTCCCCGCCTTTCCCCTCCCCCCTTCCCCTCTCCCTGGACATGGGACCTGAACTAGTTTTTGTTGGAATATCTTTGAGTGAAAATGATGGATTATGGAACTGCACAAAGCAACATGTGTACTGGCATTGCTCGTTGCATTGTTTTCTATGAGCAACAACCTCCGTCCTCCCTCCTCTCCATGTGACTTCCTGCAGGCAATGAGCATGCTGAGGGCACGCGAGTACTTCCCCAAGTCGGGAACCCTTGCAGAGGTACACTTCCTTCATTCATCAGAACATGTCTGCATATTAGAGATGTCTCTGCTGCCGCGGTTGACCTGTCGTACCCCTCCACCCAACTTGGCAAATAAAGCAATTTTTGTTTTCGATTATCTTTCTCTCCACGCAAACCTCCTTAGCGCAGCTGTGGTGCTCTGCCAATCCAGCGTCATGTTCCCCATCTGGCATCATCTCCCTTCACATATCGCACAGTTCCTTTAACCAGCACCACCACTGCACTGCAGCATGGCCAGTATAACTCGGTTAACTGATGTATCAACAACCGCTAATCCCGTCATCCCATCATCCCCCTCAACCCCTCACAACCTCACCCTGCATCCCCTCACCCCTTCGCTCCCTCATACCTGAATCCACCGCCACCCCTCTTATCCATCCACGAGTAGACGCTGGAGGCGTCACTGCAGGAGGTGGCGGTGGGAATGGTGAGCTACAGAATGGTCAACCTCTCGGGCCACACTCTCTACTACTGGACTGGTGCGTGCTATGTCCGCTGCAAATCCTGCCTGGGTGGCCATCTCTTGTCTTATCCGCACTATGATTCAGACCAGGCACTGACTCACAGATGCCAAGTGAACGTTGATGATTGCGTTTGCTTCTGGTGTGCAGAGAAGGACGAGGAGAAGTCCAAAACGTACTCAATGGAGGAGGGCGAGGAGCAGGTGCTGGAGGTGCAGCCGGTGCAGAAGGTGGTCACTCTCAGGGACACGCGCAAGATCCTCGCGCGCACCATCTGTGTCAAGCTCAAGGGGGACTGGCTGCCCATCAACGACATTGTCATGGACAAGGTGAGCTGCTTCGTTGACGTGGTTGTCAAAGTGTGCATTCTGCCAAGCTCAAGGGGGACTTGCTGCCATTCAATGAGACTGTCATGGACAAGGTGAGCTGCTCTCATCTCATTCGCCTGTTCTGGAAATTATATTTCAGCCAAATCCTGCTCCCCAAAGCAGAGAGATTGGAGTGCGTGTGAGCTCTCTTGGTTTCTTCAAGTAACCTCTTGAACACAAACTCACCTCTTCCCACCCCTCTCCACCCACGCAGGTGGGCAAGTACGTGATGGATCTGCGGCTGCCGGGGAGCACAGTGGTGCTGCCGGTGGTGTTTGACGTCACGCTCAAGTCGCGCACCAAGATCATTACCGTCCACTCCACCATGCACCTCCGCAACAACCTCGACGTCCCACTGGTCTTCTTCGCCCTCCTGCCCAGTCCCAAAGAGACCGGAGGAGGCGAGACTGCCAAGTCCTCCTCGCAAGTCAAGAAGTTTTCGCTCGGTGGGTCGGTCACTGTGCGCTGCCGCAGCGCTGCTTTGCAATGCCGTTCCTGGCACATTATGCTGCTGCTGCTGCTGTATGCCATAGGCTTGGCTGTGCGTCCCTGTTTTTCTCCTCGCTTTGATCAATTCGTGTCCTTGTAAAAATGTGCTCCTCGCTAGCTGTCTGCCTGCCTTTTACTCTTCTTGGCATAACTTACTGGTTCATGTATATGTATGTGTGGATGCCACTCCATGCCGACCTGCCTCCCCTGTGCAGGCCCCATACATCCTGAGCATGAAATCTTCATGCCCATCTTTGCAGCTCTAGGAGGCCAACTCATGGCTCAGGCAGAGGTGCGTGATTGAGGTCATTCATGGGTGCGTGATGGCATGGGTGCGTGATGGCATGGATGCGTGATGGCATGGGTGTGTGAGGTCATGGGTGCGTGATGTGATGGCATGGCTCATGCGCAGTTTTGTGAGTAGTACGGCTCATGCGTGGCTGCGCGACGACATGATTCCAGGTGCAGTCACAACTTACCTCTGAGTAATCTGATATGCAAACACAGCACTCTTCACTTTCGTCTCGTCATTTACCCAACCCCACCCCCTTCTTACCCCCTTCCCCCATTCTCTTCCCCCTCCACTACCGCCCGTTACACACCTGGTGGCAGGGCTTTGCGCGGGCAGAGAAGGACGTGGTAGCGCTGGATCCAGAGCACCTGTTGGAGCAAACACAGCTCTTTTGTACTTCCGTCTTGTCATCTCCCCAACTAAACCTCCCACCGGCAGGGCTTTGCGCGGGCAGAGAAGGATGTGGTAGCGCTGGACCCAGAGCACCTGCTGGAGCAGCAGGGCCTCCTCGAGTTCCCCATCCTGAGCCACGGCGGCCGCTCCCCAATCGTGGGGAGAGGCAGCAGCGGCGGCAGCAGCAGCAGCAAGCTGCTCACCCGCTTCAGCAGCATGACGCGGAGGCACAGTGACAGCGGAGGGAGTTCGAGGCTCAGTGAATTTGGGAGTGTGAGGAGGGGGAGCATGGCGAACGAAGGAGAGGATGAGTTTGATAGGAGCAGTGGCGTGGGTTCCGCAGAGGAGTTTGACAGTGCGAGTGATGTGAGGAGGCCGTTTTACTGCTGTCTGCAGGTGAACTCGGATCCTCTGGCACACAGTGCGAGCAATGGGTTGTACGAGGAGTTCACTCTGTCCTTTGTGCCCCCTGTGGCGATCCAAAACGGCCTGCCGTATGACTTGGAGGCGTATGTGTGGGATGTGGAGTGGGGCACGCGGCACATTGTCTACGTTCCTTCTGGTCAGTACCCTCTCCTTTTGCCACTGCCGCTGCTGCTGCTCCTACGCTGCAACACTTCTTCCCTGCTGCTAATGCTGATACTGCTGCTGCAATCCCTCCTTGCTTTGCTTCTGACTCGTCAGCGGCCATACATTCTCCTTGCTCGTTTCTCTTCTCTTGCATCCCCTGCATTCCCAACAGGCGAGTCCCGAGACCTATACCACGTCAGCCTAGACCACACACTGCAGATGCACATTGCGGTGAGCCAAATGGCACTGTTGTAGCTCCCACTGAATCTGTGACTAGCAGACGCTCATAGATTACAGAGGCTGTACTGTCTTGTTGAGCTCCGGCTACTTGCAAAGAGTGCAAGCTGTGGCTCTTTCTGCTTCCTCGTAAATTCTGCTGCCCTTCATCATGTTTCTTTTGTCTCCCATGTCTCCATCACTCTGCTGCAGCTCTTTGTGCCAGGAGGCGAGTACAGGACGCGCTGCCGGTACCCCATCCACTTCCCTCCCAAGTGAGCGGTCCTCTTAGCCCTCAAGCCCTCCCATTTGCATTCGACAGGCATCGCAGCAACCCCCCCTGACGTAAATGCCTTCACACGTCCATCTTTTCTTCTCTTATCATGCTGTCTGTCACCTCACTTGCTCGCTCCTCATGAACTCGCCACCATGGTCACTAATTCTTCCCATCCCCATACCCTCATCCCCCCTCGCACCTCTTCTCCAAAATCCCTCAGCCCGTTGCTCCAGAAGCAGTTTGGCAGCCGTGCTTTCGCCTACGACGTGCGCACTCTCCGCCTGGCAGTCAAGTGCCGCCTCTTCCCCCAGCACTCCCTTGCAGCCTCGCCCATCACCCTCTCCATCGACAACCGCCACAACTGGCAGTCACGCAACCGCAGCATTTCGTTGCTCGCGCACTACTGGGTCATCAACCTCACCAAGTTCCGCCTCAAGCTCTCCACTGGCTCCTCCCAGAACCCTCTCGACTGCCCGCGGTATCAGGAGGGCCAGCCGGCCCTGCTGAACGTTCGCCGTGGGGCGATCACTGCGATCAGCTTGGATGGCTACCATTGGTCGAAGTCGATCTCGATAGATTCTGTCGGAATCAAGGGGTCGGTTGCGGTTGCTGGGCCGGCGTCCACAGCGTCACAGCACCACCATCATGCGTCAGATCATGCTTTGATGCGGCAGCAGACGACCGAGGAGTGGGAGAACGTGGTTCAGCTGGAAGCTCCTGCTGGCGCTCGCTCCCACCGCTCCACCGCCATGTCACCTTTCCCAGTCAGTTTCTCTACTGCTTCTGGTCTCTTCGACTGCTTTGGCAAATGCCTGAACACCTCCATTCTCCCTCTGTGCCCCCTTCTCCCCTTCGCCCATCTCCCTCCCTCTTCAAACCTCCCGTTCACCACAACTCCTCTCGCCACACCACCTCCGCCATGTCACCATTCCCACTCAGGCATCTCTGAATGCTTCGGCGATTATCACCTCCATGCCCCTTCTCTGCATGGACCAAGGCGCGTGCGCGGGCCAAGGCACGCGCCCAGACCGAGTCTCTTCACCCATCCCCCTCCCTCTTCACGCCTACCATTCACCACAAAGCCCGCCCACCCCACAAACAAAAAAACATATGAATGCATTCACCCACAACTTCAACTGCCCTCCATGTTTCTGTTCTGCGTCTTCTCTCCTCCCTTCTCGCCACACTTGCACCAGACCAGACCAGCACTCACCCCAAACGAGCCCTTACCCCAGATGCACATCCTCCCCTTCTCGCCCACTCTCCCCAGGCCCTACGGCGCTTTGAGTTTGGGGTGGAGGTGCGGCTGGCGCCATCACTTTGCGAGGGCACTAGTTTTTGAGGCGCCTCAAGACCAGACTTCTCACCCCAGATGCACATCCTTCTCTTCACATCCGCCCTCCCCAGGCCCTGCGGCGCTTTGAGTTTGGGGTGGAGGTGCGGCTGGCGCCGTCACTGTGCGAGGGCACGAAGCTCGTCATCATCTCTCCGCGCTTCATGGTCTCGAATCAGACCGGCCAGCCCATGCAGATCGCACAGATCGGCACCACCACTGCCAGGGTACATATCTTCTTTCTTCTTTGCTCTTTCACCGATATACCCTCTGCTGTATGCGCCAGCATGGCACTGCGCTCCCCTGCTGCATTTGACTTGACTAATCTCAATGTCCGTGTCCGTGGCCTTCTCTCTGGCAGGTTCTGGCGGACAAGATGCGGCAGCCGTTCCACTGGGATGACGAGAAGCTCGGGACATACCTGGTGGCCCGGTTGCTGAGCAGCGAGCAGGAAGACGATGACATGGGTGATGGCGCAGAGGAGGGGGCGCAGGAGGGGGAGGAGGAGGAGGATGGGGTCAGCTTGAGTTCGGATGGAGAGCATAGTGAGGGAGAAGAGGAGGACGGGAGAGGGGAGGGAGTGGGGGAGAGGCATGCAGGGGATGAGGTGCAAGGGATGCAGAGGTTGCGGAGGGACTCAGAGGGTTCGCTTGTGTTGTGCGAGTCGATGGAGGGTAGAGACCAGGTGCAGACAGGGGCGAGCAGCATTGGGTCTGGAGGGTGTGATGACGGTGGGGGCAGCAACCGTGATAAGAAGATGGGGTTGCTAACGGGCCAGGAGGCTGATACCGGTGCAACTGGCAGGTTGCAGGACAGTGGCAGCAACAGGCAGCAGCAGCAGCCCCACAACGGCGTCAGTGGCAGCAGAAGTAAGCAGGTGGAGAACGATTGCAGTAGAAAGGGGGATGGAAGCTTTGGAAAGGGAGAAGGAAGCAGTAGACGCCTGGGCGGAAGCAGCAAGTCATCAGGAAAGAGCGTCAGTCACACGGAAAGTGGAACGGGCAGCGAAGGCGAGCGTGCATCCCAGAAGAAGAGTGCAGGGAAGGGGCGGCGGAGCAAAGGAGGGGAGATGGACGTGGATTGGGACTGGTCGGGTGCGTTTGATATCGACAAGCCGGGGGAATCCGCGGTGCGCATTAAGCACAGGCGCAAGAGGGGAAAGTACGCCATACTCTCTATAGATGTCTCTTTGAACGGCGCCTCTGCCCTCGTCACGTTTGACATCTGCGGCTCCAAGCACAAGCCTCCGCCCTATCGGTACATGCCGTGCCGGCCTTGTTTCGCATCGCACACATGCATCCTTGCATTGCATTGCATTGCGTTGCGCATGCCGGTAGACCCCTCCCTAGTGGGTCTGTGGATCCGGATCCCTTGGTTGCTCACTTGGTGCCTGCAGAATGGCGCTTTCTTCCTGCATAACAGCTCCCATGTCACCGTATCTTCACACGACCCATATCATCGCTTCTCTTTCCCATTCACGTGCCATGGCAGCATTGAGAACCGTTCGGCCTTCATGACCATCAAGTACGGGCAGCTCACCACCCGTACACGGCAAAGGCTGCCTCCCCATCGCTCCACCAACTATGCTTGGGACCAGGTGTGTGCCAGGTGGGACCAGGTACGCCCCTCGCGTACCAGGAGGGACCATCTGCACCTCTAAAGTGCCTCAAATCTCTCTGAACCTCTGTCACGTCTCTCAGATCCTGTAAGGTGAAGAGAGGGTTTGACGCTTTCCCACCGTGATTGCAGCCCACACACCTCACCCGTCCATTATCAGGCATTTGCTGTCTGCAGGATATGGGAAGACTCAAACCCTTTCATCCGGCCAGTGATCCACCCAGCAGCCTCCTTTGCTGTTCATTTGAATTCAAACGAGTCATTCATACGTCTTACACCCCACTGTCACCCCCTCACCTCTCCTCCCACTCCCCCCTTTTGCTGTGGCCAGCCGCGCATGGCCCAGCTGCTGCAGGTGGAGATCGAGGGGTTCGGTGTGACGCGGGAGTACGACCTGGATGGCATTCGCGAGCTGCCCACCATCATCCTCTCGGAAGACGACTTCACTGGCAATGCGTCGCTGAGAGACAGGTACGGCAATAGGTCTGGAAAGGAACAGCAAGGAGGAACTGGGGGCTGGGTGGGGAGAGAATGGTGGGGGGGTGCGGAAGCTGCCCACCATCATCCTCTCGGAAGATGACTTAACCGGCAATGCGTCGCTGAGAGACAGGTAGGTCCGCTGGTGAAGTGATAGCTTCTGAAGAGGAACAGCAAGGAATTGGGGGGGGGGGGGGGGGGAGGGGAGGGGGGACCTGGACGGCATTTGCGAGCTGCCCACCAACATCCTCTTGGAAGACGACTTCACTGGCAACGTGTCGCTCAGAGACAGGTATGCCTGCTGGTGCACTGACACAAGCTGCTGCGGTGACACAAGCTGCTGCGGAGGCAGGGTGAGGAACTGGAGGAGGGCGGGAGCACGACCTGGACAGCATTTTGGTAGCTGCTCTTTATCAGTCACGCGACTCCTTTCCTTTCCCCTTTTCTCAACCCCCCCTACTCACCCTTCCCTTGACCCCGCTCGTACCTTTTGGCCCAACTTGCCCCACAGGATGTTTGTGATGGTGGGGACGCAGGCTCGAGCGGTGGCAGCACTGTACGTGAACGTGTATGCAGACGGAGCCACCAGAGTGCTCTCATTCTCCGACACCAAACACACCTCCAAGTGAGCAAAGCATCATCATTCCATCAACTCCACATGACCAACGTCCATGCTGTCCCCTTTCCATTCATGCCCGATGTTAGACATGCTTTCTGTGTCTCTTTGGGATGCCTGTACATGTATTCCCCGTGCTGCCTGCAGGATATCGGGCAATGACGGGCTGCGATGCTCCTTAGAATTCATTCTAGTCTTATGTAAGTGAATTCCCGTGTATCCATCCCATGCTGCGTTCAGGGTATCGGAGGAGGACGAGCGCACCACGCTGCAGGAGAAGCTGCAGGTGACAAGCGAGCGGATCGACTTCGCCCGCAAGGTGCTGCAGCGCGCTCGAGCCCTGGCAGGGGACGCTCCACTGGATGCTTTGGAGGCACAGGTAAGATCAAGCCGTAGCGCAGGTGATCCAGGCGCAGCAGAGGTGAGCCAGCTGCATCGTAAGTAGGTTGACTGATTGGTCATTTGGTTCAGAAAATGGAAGTGAGGTCATAGCTTACAACCATACGCTGGTTGATGATGGTGTTTAACACAGACTTTCACAAACCGTTTCTCCCCGGTTTCCTGTGCTTGTTGTGTCATGGTGCAGCCATCGTACATCGAGACTCCCGAGTACAGTGCAGCCATGGCCAGCTTCACGCCCAACCACCACCCCTCCATGCACTCTACTGGCAGCAGCTCGTCTGCTCGCAGCAACAAGCATCTCCGTCGCAGCAGCAGCGACACTCCTGTTGCCTCTACAAGCAGAAACCCTCCGTCCGTCGTAACTGCCAGTGGCGGTGGCAGTGTGAAGGAGCGGTTCTTTTCCAGAGCAGATTCAGAGGGTTCCTCTCCTCGCACTCCCCCAGAGACCTTCCCCGTGTTTACTGGCAGCAGCTCTGTTCTTTCTCCTGCTAGTCGAGCCACTGGTGATCCAGATCTGGTGACCACACTGCCCAGGAGCCCCCTCTTGAGAAGCTTTGCCCTATCCTCGTCTGCAGCTGCTGCCCCCGCCAAAAATGCTCGGGCTTCAGGCCTTGCTAACAGCAGAACTGTGAGTGACTCGTTTGAAGCCTCTGCTGAGCATGTCAAGTCGCAGCCAAGCAAGGCAGGGCACCGTAGGAGTAAGAGCCAAGAGGCCGCGGTGTTACAAGCAGGAAAGGACATGTCATGGGCCAAAGGAGAAGGAAAGGCAGAGAAAGGAAAGGGTGTAGCGAATGATGATACAAAAGCTCCAGAGGCGGGGGAAAAGGGCGGTGAAGGGGAAGGGAGCGGTAAGGAGGCCCATGCAGAAGGCAGCAGCTCACACTCTCAAGAAGCGCCCAGAGGGTCCGGCCCACGCCCTGAAGTGACCAAGGCAGGGGCAGGAAGCAGCGCCAGTTCTGGGGTTGACTATGCAGGCAGGCCAGCAAGGCTGAAGGGGCAAGCGGCACTTAATTACCTATACCTCCCTGGAAGCGCGGCTGCCGTGCCTGATTATCCGATGAGTCTGGTCGAGGCAACAGCGTATGGTGTTCAGGCGGGATCGCAGGTTGTGAAGGCAGGGATGGAGGTGGTGGAAGGGGTGGGGGAGGTGGCAGAGGAGAGTGTGAAAGAAAACATAGGTCCATACGTTAAAGCAGTCAGATCAATAGATGCCAAGGCGTTGGCAGGAAAGGTTGTGGAAGGGGCCAGGCATGTTGAATCCGCAGCAGCAGAGGTGAAAGGGATGTTAAAATCAGCAGCGAAGGCGTTGTCCAAGGAGAAATCGGACGGGGCAGCAGCTGTGGCATTAGAGGAAAGGGTGCCTCAGGGGGAGATGGCAAACGAGGCAGATACAGCAGCAGCAGCAGCAGCAGCAGCAGCAGATGCAGCAGCATGCTCAGACACCTCTACTGCAGCTGGCAGATCACAAGGTGTTTCAGCTTCAACGGCTACGCCCGGCAGGTTACCTGAGTCGGACATCTGCGCATCTGCTTCTTCTGCTCCTGGCGCATCTGCGTCTACTGCTCCTGCTTCTGCTGCTCCTGGTGCATCTGCTTCTGCTGCTCCTGGTGCATCTGCCAGTGCTGCTCCTGGCGCATCTGCCCGTGCTGCCATTGTGTCTGGTGATGGTGCCACCACTGCTGGTGGGGGAGCATGGCAGAGAGTTAAGCAGCGATTGGCGTTCATGAGTGAGGGCAAGGGGAAGATAAACGCACAGCTGCCAGAGCCGAGGCAAGAAGAGAACGATGGTGAGGATGTGAAGGGTGGGTATGATGGTGGAGAGGACAGGAGGTCAGAGAGGCATGTTCAAGGGGCTGGTGGCGAGGAGAATAAGAAAGGACTCGAGACGTATGTGAAGGCAGGGCGCCTTTCACTTGTGAGGGAAGGATCAGAGGAGGAGGAGAACGAGGGAGGAGAGGAAGGAATGGGGCAGGGCTGCCACAGAGATGCAGGCAGAGAGCAGGTTTCAGGCACGGGTGGTGGGGTGACTGGCAGTATTGATGCTGGGAGAAGCAGTGGTGATGGGCCAAGGGGGGCTGAGAAGGAGAGTATACGTGTGGTAGACGCTGGGGGAGGAGTGACAGGTGGAACGCAGAGGGAAGAGGGGCAGGGGGCAGATGCAGCAGAGGAACAGGGCCAAGAAGAGGAAGCCAGGAGTAGGACCGGAGAGACAGCGGGGGCTGGAGAAGAAGATGGAGAAGGAAGTGAGAGGTTGGAAGTGCCTGTGTCTGCATCTCTCCTTGGCTCCTCACTGGCTGCTGCTCGCTTTGTCCTGGGGCTGAAGAGAGGCAAGGCCAGACGTGCAGCTGGCGCCAGTGAAGGAGAGCGACGTTCTGAAGTTGCACGTGTTGATGCTGAGGCTCAGCAGTCCCGTCCTGGTGCTGATTCTGCGTCCAGTTCTACAGCTGCTGCAGATGGCAGTACGGCTGCTGCTGGTAGTGCGGCTGCTGCTGGTAGTGCGGCTGCTGCTGGTAGTGCGGCTGCTGCTGGTAGTGCGGCTGCTGCTGGTAGTACGGCTGCTGCTGGTAGTACGGCTGCTGCTGGTAGTGCGGCTGCTGCTGGTAGTGCGGCTGCTGCTGGTAGTGCGGCTGCTACTGGCAGTGCGGCTGGTGCTGACAGTGCGGCTTCTACAGGCGCTGCTTCTGCAGCTGTCGCAGAGAGTGGTGAGGCGGATGCTAGCTCCTCTGGTTCTTGTGCTGCCACTGATCCCGACACAGGGCGTGCACAGGGATACGCTGGTGATGGTTCTGAGACGGATGCTGATATCACTGACGCTTATGCTGATGCCCATCCCAGTCAGCACACTGATGCTAACACACGTGGAGCGTTAATTGCACAAACTGTGCCAGCCTCAACTGCTGCCAATGCTAGTGCTGCCCAGGTCAATTCTAGTGATGGCAGTACTACCACTGCCTCTGCCTCTGTCCCAGCCGCAGCAACTGCTGCCACTGAGCCTGCTCTTGGTACTGGCGCTGCTGTCACTGAACCCGTTGTAGCTGCTGCTGGTGCAGCTGCCACTGTACCCCCAACAGTTGCAGCTGTCACTGCACCCTCTGTGGCAACAGGTGCAGCTGCCACTGCACCCTCTGTGGCAACAGGTGCAGCTGCCACTGCACCCTCTGTAGCGACAGGTGCAGCTGCCAAAGCGGCTTCGGGATCAACTGCTGGTGCTGCCACAGGTAGCAGCAGCTCCACAGGAAGCAGGCTCAAGTCCAGCAGCAGCTTCAAAGCGTCATTCAAAGCAGCTGCTGCACGAATCATAAAACCTTCTGCTGCCAAGCCCAGCAGACCCAAATTCTCTGAGGTGGTTGCTGGTGCCACGGCCGGTTCTGCTGCCATGGGCAGTTCTGGTGGGCGTGATACCACTGTTGCAGATGCCCCTGTTGTTCCCGCATCTGCTGCTGCCGCTCCTAGTGGACCTATGCTGCTAGAAACCGCGGCAGCAGAGATTGAGCCAACTATCCACCTCGAGTCCCTCTCCTCCTTTCCACCCCTCAATCGCAACGATAACCAAGCCACTCCACCCGCTGCACCAGCACCAGACCCGGACACTCGTAGTGCGGCTACTGTCTCCCTCCCACCCTCCAGCCGCAGCCTTGGCGAGTCAAGCAGTGGTGCCATGTCCAGTGATGAACTCTCTGCGACTATTGCCCGTGATGCTGCCAAAGCTTCCACGGTCGTTGCTGCTGCCGCTGCCGCTGCTGCTCCTGGTGATCCCGTGTTGCTAGAAACCGTGGTAGCAAAAACAGAGCCAACCATTCACCTGGACTCTCTCTCCTCCTTCCCACCCCTCAATCGCAACCGCAACCAAGCCACTCCACTCACTGCGCCAACAACAGGCCCCAACATTCGTAGTGCTGCTGCTTCGTCCCTCCCACCATCCAGCCAGAGCCTTGGCGAATCAAGCAGTGGTAGCAAGTACAACGATAAACTGTCTACGAATGTTGCCAGAGTTTCCGCTGTCGCTGCTGCTGCCGCTGCTGCTACTGCTGGTACTGCTGGCACTGCTGCTGGCACTGCTGCTAATGCTGGCACTGCGGCTGCTGCTGCTGCAGGTGCCTCTGCTGATGCGGCCACAACTGCAACTGTCGATGCAGATTCAACTGCTTCCGTGTCTGCCTCTGCAAGTGCTCCTCTTGCTGCTGCTGCTGCTGCTGCTGCTGCAGCAGCCTCTGCTGGCTCTGGTACCGCCGATCACAGCAGCAGTGAGCTGCAGTTGCCAGTGAATGTCCAGCCTTCTGAGTCAGCTGAGTCGGAACACCACAGGTCGCACTCAACTGAAGTCGTTCCAGCAGTGGCAGACGCAGCAACAGGAGGGGCAGCTGGTGAAGCAGCAGCATCTGAAACACCAGGCACCGATGCTGTGCATATCGCTGTTGAGGACCCATCTTTGAACAACTCCCAGCCGTCTCCTGAACTCGGTGCAAAGCCTACCCGCGGCCGTGTGACCTGGAAAGGTGTTGTGGGTCAGGTTGGTGTTGGCGCCACTGCGGCCGTGGTCAACACAGGGAAGAAAGTGACAGGAGCAGCATCAGCTCTGCACTCCGCTGCAGCTGCTTTCCTTGACGGCACTTCAGAGAAAGTTCAGGAGAAGTTTCACGAGGCCCAGGAGGCGTTTGAGGAAGCAGAGGAGAGGGCGGGGGAGTGGCGGGCGGATGAAGGGTTTAAAGCGCAAGTGGGGGCGATGAGGACGGTGCGCTCTATGGAATCATTCTTCGGGAGACAGGCGGATAAGCTGGTGAAGGCTTCCCACGTTCCTGACATGGTCAAATCTGCAACAACTGCAGAGCTCCGGGCGCACTGGCCCCATGACAGCTTCAGGTTGCCGTCGTCTAGAAGCGAGGGAGGAGAAGTAATCAGGGAAGTGGAAGGTAGTGAGTTGATGCCTGTGCCCACGTTTGATGAGCTCCAGAACATGGCAGGAGCGGCAGCTGCCGCGGAGAGGGAATTTATCGGGAAAAATAGGCCTTCTGGACTGGCCAAGAGCGCGAGTGTTGCGGCAGGGCAGGTGGCAGCAGTGGCGAGGCTAGGCCAGGATGTGGTGATGAAGGCCGGGTCCGTGGTCAAGGGAGCGGTTGGGAGCGCCATAGCTGCTGGCTCTGAGGCGGCTGTAGCAGAGGGAAAGGCCCTGATGGCCGGCACGGCTGTAGCACTGAACGTTATGGGCGGGAGGCTGGGGGATATTAAGGAACACGCAGAGCAGGACTTGCAAGTGAGCCTCGCGGATTTTCGGAGACGAATGCAGGAGGCGGGGATAGGGGCGGAGGAGGAGGAAGATATTAGCGAGTTGCGGCAGGAGCGGATCCATCTAGGCAATGAGGAGTACGATGCAGGGGCGATCGTGGGTGGCGACGTGACGATTCACGTGATTAAAGCCATGGATCTGGGGCTCCGGCCGGAGAAGACGCATCCGTACGCGGTGGTGCAGGTGGAGGGGCGCCGGCTGCGGTCTTCGGTGTGCAAGGGGACGGTGTGCCCGCAGTGGGACGAGCTGCTGGTGTTCAAAGGCGTGTCCACCACGTCCAGCATGTCTGTCTCCATCTTCAGCAGCGAAACCATCGGCTCTCACAAGTTCCTTGGCCAGGTGAGCGGCGGTCGTCAGTGTGCAAGGGGACGGTGTGCAAGGGGATGGTGTGCCCGCAGTGGGACGAGCTGCTGGTGTTCAAGGGCGTGTCTACTGCTTCCAGCATGGCTGTGTCTATCTTCAGCCGTGAAACCATTGGCTCTCACAAGTACAAGTTCCTCGGGCAGGTGAGCCATGTTCTGGTACTGCTTGCCTTTCTCGCCCATGTTTTAATCACAGCACCCTTTCCTTGATTCACTATTCTCACCCACGCACTGCGCCCTTCAGGTGGTGCTGCCTCTGGTGGATGGCAGGGCGCTAAACCGCGAACCCGGGTGGCACAAGCTGAGTCGGCGCACGGCGCACGAGACGGTGACAGGAAAGGTGTTCCTCTCTACGTATTGGGACGCCACAGAGCTTGAGCTCATGGCGCTGCAGGTGGGTGGGTCAGTTGTGCGTGCATACCTGCATGCGAGGGGTGCCCTGCATGCATGAGTGACAGGCAGGGTGTTTCTGTCCACCTCCAGAACTTACCTCCAGAACCAGACCTCCAGAGCTTACCTCCAGAACTTACCTCCAGAACCAGACCTCCAGAACTTACCTCCAGAACTTACCTCCAGAACTTACCTCCAGAACCTGACCTCCAGAACTTACCTCCAGAACCTGACCTCCAGAACCTGACCTCCAGAACTTACCTCCAGAACCTGACCTCCAGAACTTACCTCCAGAACCTGACCTCCAGAACCTGACCTCCAGAACCTGACCTCCAGAACCTGACCTCCAGAACCTGACCTCCAGAACCTGACCTCCAGAACTTACCTCCAGAACCTGACCTCCAGAACCTGACCTCCAGAACCTGACCTCCAGAACCTGACCTCCAGAACCTGACCTCCAGAACCTGACCTCCAGAACCTGACCTCCAGAACCTGACCTCCAGAACTTACCTCCAGAACTTACCTCCAGAACCTGACCTCCAGAACCTGACCTCCAGAACCTGACCTCCAGAACCTGACCTCCAGAACCTGACCTCCAGAACCTGACCTCCAGAACCTGACCTCCAGAACTTACCTCCAGAACCTGACCTCCAGAACCTGACCTCCAGAACCTGACCTCCAGAACCTGACCTCCAGAACCTGACCTCCAGAACCTGACCTCCAGAACTTACCTCCAGAACTTACCTCCAGAACCTGACCTCCAGACCCTGACCTCCAGACCTTGACCTCCAGAACCTGACCTCCAGAACCGGACCTCCAGAACCGGACCTCCAGAACTTACCTCCAGAACCTGACCTCCAGAACTTACCTCCAGAACCGGACCTCTAGAACTTACCTCCAGAACTTACCTCCAGAACCTGACCTCCAGAACCTGACCTCCAGAACCTGACCTCCAGAACCTGACCTCCAGAACCTGACCTCCAGAACCTGACCTCCAGAACCTGACCTCCAGAACCTAACCTCCAGAACCGGACCTCCAGAACCGGACCTCCAGAACTTACCTCCAGAACTTACCTGCAGAACTTACCTCCAGAACCTGACCTACAGACCCTGACCTCCAGAACTTACCTCCAGAACCTGACCTCCAGAACCTGACCTCCAGAACCTGACCTCCAGAACCTGACCTCCAGAACCTGACCTCCAGAACCGGACCTCCAGAACCGGACCTCCAGAACTTACCTCCAGAACTTACCTCCAGAACTTACCTCCAGAACTTACCTCCAGAACCTGACCTCCAGAACCTGACCTCCAGAACCTGACCTCCAGAACCTGACCTCCAGAACCTGACCTCCAGAACCTGACCTCCAGAACCTGACCTCCAGAACCGGACCTCCAGAACCGGACCTCCAGAACTTAGCTCCAGAACTTACCTCCAGAACCTGACCTCCAGAACTTACCTCCAGAACCTGACCTCCAGAACCTGACCTCCAGAACTTACCTCCAGAACCTGACCTCCAGAACCTGACCTCCAGAACCTGACCTCCAGAACTAAGCTCCAGAACCTGACCTCCAGAACCTGACCTCCAGAACCTGACCTCCAGAACCTGACCTCCAGAACTTACCTCCAAACCCTGACCTCCAGAACTTACCTCCAGAACCTGACCTCCAGAACCTGACCTCCAGAACCTGACCTCCAGAACCTGACCTCCAGAACCTGACCTCCAGAACCTGACCTCCAGAACCTGACCTCCAGAACCGGACCTCCAGAACTTACCTCCAGAACTTACCTCCAGAACCGGACCTCCAGAACTTACCTCCAGAACTTACCTCCAGAACCTGACCTTTAGAACCTGACCTCCAGAACCTGACCTCCAGAACCTGACCTCCAGAACCTGACCTCCAGATCCTGACCTCCAGAACCTGACCCCCAGAACTAACCTCCAGAACCTGACCTCCAGAACCTGACCTCCAGAACCTGACCTCCAGAACCTGACCTCCAGAACTTACCTCCAAAACCTGACCTCCAGAACTTACCTCCAGAACCTGACCTCCAGAACCTGACCTCCAGAACCTGACCTCCAGAACCTGACCTCCAGAACCTGACCTCCAGAACCTGACCTCCAGAACCGGACCTCCAGAACTTACCTCCAGAACTTACCTCCAGAACCGGACCTCCAGAACTTACCTCCAGAACTTACCTACAGACAGAACCTGACCTCCAGAACCTGACCTCCAGAACCTGACCTCCAGAACCTGACCTCCAGAACCTGACCTCCAGAACTTACCTCCAGAACCTGACCTCCAGAACCTGACCTCCAGAACCTGACCTCCAGAACCTGACCTCTGGAACTTACCTCCAGAACCTGACCTCCAGAACCGGATCTCCAGAACCTGACCTCCAGAACCTGACCTCCAGAACCTGACCTCCAGAACCTGACCTCCAGAACCTGACCTCCAGAACTTACCTCCAGAACCGGACCTCCAGAACTTAACTCCAGAACTTACCTCCAGAACCTGACCTCCAGAACCTGACCTCCAGAACCTGACCTCCAGAACCTGACCTCCAGAACCTGACCTCCAGAACCTGACCTCCAGAACCTGACCTCCAGAACTTACCTCCAGAACCTGACCTCCAGAACCTGACCTCCAGAACCTGACCTCCAGAACCTGACCTCCAGAACTTACCTCCAGATTCTGACCTCCAGACCCTGAGCTCCAGAACCTGACCTCCAGAACCTGACCTCCAGAACCGGACCTCCAGAACTTACCTCCAGAACCTGACCTCCAGAACCTAACCTCCAGAACCGGACCTCCAGAACCGGACCTCCAGAACTTACCTCCAGAACTTACCTGCAGAACTTACCTCCAGAACCTGACCTACAGACCCTGACCTCCAGAACTTACCTCCAGAACCTGACCTCCAGAACCTGACCTCCAGAACCTGACCTCCAGAACCTGACCTCCAGAACCTGACCTCCAGAACCGGACCTCCAGAACCGGACCTCCAGAACTTACCTCCAGAACTTACCTCCAGAACCGGATCTCCAGAACTTAGCTCCAGAACTTACCTCCAGAACCTGACCTCCAGAACTTACCTCCAGAACCTGACCTCCAGAACCTGACCTCCAGAACTTACCTCCAGAACCTGACCTCCAGAACCTGACCTCCAGAACCTGACCTCCAGAACTAAGCTCCAGAACCTGACCTCCAGAACCTGACCTCCAGAACCTGACCTCCAGAACCTGACCTCCAGAACTTACCTCCAAAACCTGACCTCCAGAACTTACCTCCAGAACCTGACCTCCAGAACCTGACCTCCAGAACCTGACCTCCAGAACCTGACCTCCAGAACCTGACCTCCAGAACCTGACCTCCAGAACCTGACCTCCAGAACCGGACCTCCAGAACCGGACCCTCAAAAACTCCAGAACTTACCTCCAGAACTTACCTCCAGAACCGGACCTCCAGAACTTACCTCCAGAACTTACCTCCAGAACCTGACCTTTAGAACCTGACCTCCAGAACCTGACCTCCAGAACCTGACCTCCAGAACCTGACCTCCAGAACCTGACCTCCAGAACCTGACCTCCAGAACTTACCTCCAGAACCTGACCTCCAGAACCTGACCTCCAGAACCTGACCTCCAGAACCTGACCTCCAGAACTTACCTCCAAAACCTGACCTCCAGAACTTACCTCCAGAACCTGACCTCCAGAACCTGACCTCCAGAACCTGACCTCCAGAACCTGACCTCCAGAACCTGACCTCCAGAACCTGACCTCCAGAACCGGACCTCCAGAACTTACCTCCAGAACTTACCTCCAGAACCGGACCTCCAGAACTTACCTCCAGAACTTACCTACAGACAGAACCTGACCTCCAGAACCTGACCTCCAGAACCTGACCTCCAGAACCTGACCTCCAGAACCTGACCTCCAGAACTTACCTCCAGAACCTGACCTCCAGAACCTGACCTCCAGAACCTGACCTCCAGAACCTGACCTCTGGAACTTACCTCCAGAACCTGACCTCCAGAACCGGATCTCCAGAACCTGACCTCCAGAACCTGACCTCCAGAACCTGACCTCCAGAACCTGACCTCCAGAACCTGACCTCCAGAACTTACCTCCAGAACCGGACCTCCAGAACTTAACTCCAGAACTTACCTCCAGAACCTGACCTCCAGAACCTGACCTCCAGAACCTGACCTCCAGAACCTGACCTCCAGAACCTGACCTCCAGAACCTGACCTCCAGAACTTACCTCCAGAACCTGACCTCCAGAACCTGACCTCCAGAACCTGACCTCCAGAACCTGACCTCCAGAACTTACCTCCAGATTCTGACCTCCAGACCCTGAGCTCCAGAACCTGACCTCCAGAACCTGACCTCCAGAACCGGACCTCCAGAACTTACCTCCAGAACCTGACCTCCAGAACCTGACCTCCAGAACCTGACCTCCAGAACCTGACCTCCAGAACCTGACCTCCAGAACCGGACCTCCAGAACTTACCTCCAGAACTTACCTCCAGAACCGGACCTCCAGAACTTACCTCCAGAACCTACCTCCAGAACCTGACCTTTAGAACCTGACCTCCAGAACCTGACCTCCAGAACCTGACCTCCAGAACCTGACCTCCAGAACCTGACCTCCAGAACCTGACCTCCAGAACTTACCTCCAGAACCTGACCTCCAGAACCTGACCTCCAGAACCTGACCTCCAGAACTTACCTCCAGAACCTGACCTCCAGAACCTGACCTCCAGAACCTGACCTCCAGAACCTGACCTCCAGAACCTGACCTCCAGAACCTGACCTCCAGAACCGGACCTCCAGAACATACCTCCAGAACTTACCTCCAGAACCGGACCTCCAGAACTTACCTCCAGAACTTACCTACAGACAGAACCTGACCTCCAGAACCTGACCTCCAGAACCTGACCTCCAGAACCTGACCTCCAGAACCTGACCTCCAGAACTTACCTCCAGAACCTGACCTCCAGAACCTGACCTCCAGAACCTGACCTCCAGAACCTGACCTCCAGAACTTACCTCCAGAACC